GATCTCTTACCCTGTCCCCCCTTCCACCTTCCCCTGCCTTCCCTTCTGAGGTTGACAGTCTGTTCGATGCTTCTATGTCTCTATTTTTTGTTCATCAGTTTATGTTGTTCATTATATTCCACAAATGAGTGAGATCAAGTGATACTTATCTTTCTCTGACTGGCTTATTTTGCTTAGCATAATGCTCTCCAGATCCATCCATGCTGTTGCAAATGGCAAGAGTTTTTTTTTTTTTTACAGCAGCCTAGTATTCCATTGTGTAGAAGTACCACTGTTTTTTAATCCACTCATCTGCTGATGGGCACTTAGGCAGTTTCCATATCTTAGCTATTGTAAATTGTGCTGCTATGAACATAGGAGTGCATGTATCCTTTCTGATTATTGGTTCTGATTTCTTGGCTATAGTTCTAGAAGTGGGATTAATGGGTCAAATGGGAGTTCCATTTTTAACTTTTTGAGGAAACTCCATACTGTTTTCCACAGTGGCTGCACCAGTCTGCGTTCCCACCTGCAGTGCACGAGGGTTCCTTTTTCTCCGCATCCTCTCCAGCACTTGTCTTTTGTTGATTTGTTGATGATAGCCAGTCTGAGAGGTGTGAGATGGTATCTCATTGTCATTTTGATTTGCATCTCTTGCATGATTAGTGACTTTGAGCATGTTTTCATATGCCTCTTGGCCTTCTATATGTCCACTTTCAAAAAGTGTCTATTTAGGTCCTTTGCCCATTTTTTGATTGGATTGTTATCTTCCTTTTGTTAAGTTTTATGAGTTCCCTGTAAATTTTGGAGATTAAACCCTTATCGGATATAACATTGGCAAATATGCTCTCTCACGCAATGGGCTCTCTTGTTGTTTTGTTGATGGTTTCTTTTGCTGTGCAGAAAGATGTAGTCCCATTTGTTTATTTTTTTCTTAGTTTCCATTGTCTTAGGAGCTGTATCGGTGAAGAAATTGCTTCAGCATATGTCTGAGATTTTGTTGCCTTTGGATTCCTCTAGTATTTTTATGGTTTCCCGTCTTACATTTAAGTCCTTTATCCATTTTGAGTTTATTTTTGTGTATGGTGTGAGTTGGTGGTCTATTTTTATTTTTTTGCATGTATCTGTCCAATTTCCCCAACACCATTTATTGAAGAGACTGTCTTGACTCCATTGTATGCTCTTGCCTTCTTTGTCAAATATTAATTGAACATAATGGCTTGGGTTGATTTCTGGGTTCTCTGTTATTTTTCATTGGTCTTTATGTCTGTTCTTATTCAAGTACTAGGCAATTTTGAGAACAGTGGCTGTGTAATATAGCTTGGTATCTGGTATTGTGATCCCTCCAACTTTGTTCTTCTTTCTCAGGATTGCTGTGGCTATTAGGGGTCTTTTTTTATTCCATATAAATTTTTGGAGAGTTTGTTCTAGGTCTGTGAAATATTCCATTGGTATTTTAATGGGGATTGCATTGAATCTATAGATTGCTTTGGGTAGTATGGACATTTTAATGATATTGATTTTACCAATCCATGAACATGGTATATTCTTCCACTTGTTTATATCTTCCTCTATCTCTTTTTCAATGTCCTATAGTTTTCCCAGTCTTTTACCTCTTTAATTAAGTTTATTCCTAGGTATCTTAATTTTTTTGTTGCAATGGATTTTTTAGTTTCTCTTTCTGTGAGATCATTATTGGTGTATAAAAATGCCATAGATTTCTGGGTGTTAATTTTGTATCCTGCTATGTTGCTGAAGAGGATTTTTCTTAATAACTTATTTGTCCTAAGGTTTAGCTATTCTCTCTCTCTCTCTCTCTCTCTCTAACATATATTTTTATTGATTTCAGAGAGGAAGAGAGAAGGAGAGAGAGAGAGAAACATCAATGATGAGTGAGAATCATTGATCAGCTGCCTCCTACATGCCCCCTCCTGGGGATCGAGCCTGCAACCTGACAGGGAATTGAACCATGACCTCCTGGGTCATAGGTTGATGCTCAACCACTAAGCCAGTTCGGGCCAGGCTAGGTATTTTCTTTATGACATCATCAACAAAGTGTCTCTGCATGGTCTTGCCTCACCCAGCAGAGTGTTCTTACTCATTCCTTGATATTTGCTAGCCTCTTAGAGGGGTTGGGGGGTTGCAGGCTAGAGATGGGAGGAGTATTCTCTATTATTCTGGTACAGATTCAGTCTTAGTGTTACCAGGGAGATGATGAAACCTCGGGTCTTATCTTCTTGAAGGAAATATTTCAATCGAGTGACAAAGTGTAGCAAAGTAAGTAAGAATTTATTGGCTGCAGCAAAAATATACTTAGGACAGTAAAACAAAGAAGGGCATAGAAGAAGCAATAGGAAAGCCTACGCTGGGATGCTTTGGTGCACTGAATAGTCAGAGAAAAGAGGGCTTGGTGACAGGGCTTGGTGGTTAGGCCTGGACGAACTGCTGCTGCCTATTGCTCCCGTGGTTGCAAGACTTGTGGGACCCTTAGAAGAAAGGAGGGCGAAGGGAATAGTGCATGTGTACTCCCCTGGAGGGGGGCGGGGAGGGGAGTGTGCACTGGGTCATTCATTCATTCTGAGCATACTTATCTCTCTCTCTTGCAGGTGGAAATCTTAGGGGAGGTCTCAGGGGAAGGTCTCAATAGAATATTCATCAGCTTTCCAGGTGTGCCCTGTCAGGGTTTGGTATCCACTGACTGGTTGGTGCCATGGCAGGGGGTCATTAGTCAATGTAGCTGGTCCATAGCATCACTTGTCTGGTTTAGCTGCTTTTTTGGGTCTGGAGTTGAAATTCAACTGAGGCCTAGATGTTATCTTTAGGAAGGAAAAGGTTGCGGGGGGAGGGGGGGGCGGTATTCTAAACTTGCATGACCAGCAATATACTAGGGGAGGAAAGGTTACCCTGGGGATGAGGTTCTTCCCCCCCCCCCCCCCCCCCCAGTTTTGCTCCTTGTTAGGCATCTAGGGCTTTCTGGTCTGGTGAGTTTCTGTACCTGGCCCATCATCCTTGCTCTGCTCATGTCTGTCTAACTGCCTATAAAACATTGGGTGAGTGTTGTATTCCTGGGGCTCAGGATTGGACTTTTCATTGTCTCTCTCCCTCACAGCAGTGGGGAGATGTCTAGGATTCAGGTATTTTTCTGTTTCTCCTTCATGATAGATTGTTTTTGTTTTCTTGTTTCCTTTCTATAATCTGTAGGTACATGGGTCTTCATATATGTCCTAATGGTGACAGGTTTTCGACTTTTCCCCCATGCTTTAAGGCTTTAATTGTGTGGAAGACACAGAGAATGATCTGGGTGGGACTTTGTGCCTTTCCTGCTGGTTGCTGCTTCTCTTTCCTAGGCCTGCACTAGGAAAAAGGCACTCTTTAAACTCTTTCTCTGCCCCCAGTTTTTCTCTTGAGCACCCAGTAAGGTCTGTGTAGAAAGCCTGTGAATGGGTATGAATTTATAGTGTTTCTGCAGTTCCCAGAGCTTATTTATCACACCAGCTCCCACTAAGACTTTAGCAAGTTGTTAAAATTTTACCTAGTTCTAGAACCAAGATGACGGCATAGGTAAATACCAGTACTCACTGCCTCCCACAACCACATCAAAATTACAACTAAAATACAGAACAGCCATCATTCAGAACTGCCTGAAATCTGACTGAATGGAAGTCCTACAACTAGAGAAGTAAAGAAGAAAGCACATTGAGACTGGTAGGAAGGGCAAAGGCGTGGACTGGCTTGGTCCGACACCCATGTGTAGCATGTTTTTAATCAGGAGGGATATCTAGGCTTCAGAGGCCTCCAGTGGTGAGCAAGCCCCACACCAGACTCCTCAGCCCAGGGTTCCAGTGCTGGAAGAGAAGCCCCCCTGAAACTTCAGCTATAAAAACCAGCAGGGATTATGGCTGATTGACAGGGAGACTGCTGGAGTCCCAGGCAATTTCTTTTAAAGGGCAGCACATGGACTTACTCAGACTCACTCCCTCTGAGCTCCAGTGCTTGAGGTAGTGGCTTGGGAGGATCCAGGGACATACGGGAGGAACTGGATTGTCTGGCATCAGATCAAGAACTTGGGGACAGCTTTCTCCCAGACAGGGGTCCTTGCAGGAGTCATTGTTCCTATGCTGAGACCTCCCCCTGACTGGCAGGCACCATATCCAAGTCTCCACCAACCTGGCTCACACTGTTTGCTCTACTATGGTGATTCCCTGAGATACCACCCCACTCAATTTGCAGCCCCACCCAAGCTGTTTGCAGCAGCTATTCCATATGAATAGCCTGTCCTGGCTCAGGCTTCAGACTTTCCTAAAATATCACAAATAGGCATCAGCTGGCATTAGCGTGCCTCATACCTCTCAATAAGAGGCCCCAGGCCCAGCACTAGCAGCAGCCTGCCTTGCTTAATAGCTGGGCTCTCCTGGGCACTTCTTAGGCCAACACAAGTAGCAGCCATCTGCAGATCACTCTGTAGCTCCCGATAGGTGGCCCCAGGCAGGGCACAGGCAGTGGCTGACTTTGCACCTCCAAAAGGGCCCCAGAGCCAATGTACCCGGTGGACAGCTTCAGACCATGCCAGATTACAGCTTTACAAATCCACAAGCAACACACTCAAGGGGAAAACTCAGTGAGCACCAAAGCCCCATTGAAGCAAGTCCTGCTCCATAGGGGTGTCTCCTGCATAGCAACTCTTCTGCTGTAGTTGCAGCTGGTCCTCACAGACAATTGGCCTGGGGTTCAGTTCCTCCAATTGGCCTGGGGGTCAATTCCACCAACAGCAATCAAGGCTCAACTACAATAAAACTGTGCACAAAGCTGACACTGGTGTGCACATAGAATGCCCATCTCAGGTGACTGGGGAGGATGAGCCACTAGGTCCTACAGGACACCTGCTACAGAAGGCCACTCTTCCAGTTCCAGGAGACATAGCAGCTCTACCTAATACATAGAAACAGACATAGGGAAGCAGCCAAAATGCAGAGACAAAGAAATGTGTCACAAATGAAATAACAGAAGACATCTCCAGAAAAAGAACTAAATGAAATGGAAATAAGCAAACTACTAGATACAGAGTTCCAAACAATAGTTAATAAGGATGCTGAAGGATCTGAAGGAGAGCTTCAAGGATCGCAGTGAGAATTTCAAGGAAATTAGTGAGAACACCAAAGACATGAAAAAAGATCAGTCAGAAATGAAGGATACACGAATTGAAATGAAGAATAATTGATAGGGAATCAACAGTAGAGTAGAGGATGCAATTTGGAATATGAGGAAGCAAAAAAACCTAATCAGAAGAGCAAAAAGAAAAAAAATCCAAAAATATGAAGAGAGTGTAAGGAGCCTCTGGGACAACTTCAAGCATACTATCACTCACATCATGGGGGTATCAGAAGGAGAAGAGAGAGGGGAAGATATTGAAAACCTATTTGAAGAAATAATGACAGAAAACTTCCCCTACCTGGTGAAAGAAATAGACTTACAAGTATAGAAGCACAGAGAGTCCCATACAAGAGAAACCCAAAGAGGCCCACATCAAGACACATCATATTTAAAATGCCAAAGGATAAAGACAAAGAGAGAATCTTAAAAGCAGCAAGAGAAAAGCAGTTAGTTACCTATAAGGGAGTGCCCATAGAACTGTCAGCCAATTTCTCAACAGAAACTTTGCAGCCCAAAAGGGAGTGGCAAGAAATATTCAAAGTGATGAATAGCAAGGACTACAGCCAAGATCACCCTCCCCAGGAAAGCTGTCATTTAGAATTGAAGGTGAGATAGAGTTCACAAAAAAAAAAAAAGCTAATGGAGTTCATCACCACTAAACCAGTATTACATGAAATGTTGAACGCTAATCTTTAAGAAGAAGGAGGAGGAGAAGAAAAGATAAAAAATCAATAAATACATATCTAGCAACAATTGAATCTAAAAATAATAAACAAATGGGGAATATAGTGAACAAAATAAATTATGAATAAAGTAAAACCAGAGGCATGGAAACATGGAATAAACTGACAAATCTCAGAGGGTAGGGTGATTGGAGGGCGGAAAGAGATTAACCAAAAAACATATGCATATATGCAGTACCTATGAACACAAACAGTAGGGTAGTAAAGGCCTGTGACCCAGCGTGAACCAAGTGGATGGGGGGCAATGGGAGAAAAAAGGGCAACATCTGTAATAGTCTCAACAATAAAGATAAAAACATTTTTTTAAGCTAAATTCTTCTTACCAAATTGTATAGTCTGTAGTGTTTGCCTTGGGTAAGTGCGTACTCTCATCCTGTCCCTCCTTGGAAGCACCTGTCTTTCTTTAGGTTTCTAATTAGTTGCTCTGCCAAGACAAGTTGTGATTATGTAGATAATTGGGCTCTTGATGTTGTAAGGGCGGGGAAGTGCTCTTTCCAGTTTTCTACAGACTTGCCAGACTGATCCCCAGCTTTTACCTTTGCAAATAATTCCTCCATGAGTATCCTTGGGCATACATCCTTGTACCTTTATGTAATTAAGTCTTTAGGATATTCTTAGATTATTTTTCTCAGAGGTTATGCAAATGTACTTCTTACTGTTTGATCAGATTCTCTTCCAAAGATTTTTGTCAATTTCTACTTCTACCAACAGAAAAAACAGGTTTATGCTTGAGATTTCTTTTCAATTGGAGAATTCATAAATTAAATCTTATACATAGTTTTAAATAGTATTATCCCAATTTTTACTAAAGTTGAGTATCTCTCCATATGGTATATCTTAATTATTTTATTGGGTTCTTTGTCTTTTTCTGTTTTATGAGTTCCGTATTTGAGCTACTAAGAGTTTACATTATAAAGTTAGTCTTAATCTGATATCTCTGCTTTAAGAAAACATTATATTTTAATTGTGTTTATTTGCAATTTGAAAAAGACTTACTACAGTTTTACAGAAGAGCGTTATACCAATACTTTCTGTTTCTTTTTTTTTAAACATAAATTAATACAGTGCTTTAAACTTTTATTTCTGTTCTGTAAATAAAGGCTTGTTGTTGTTGTTGTTGTTAATCCTCACCCGACGATATTTTTGCACTGATTTTTAGAGAGATTAGAAGGGAGAGGGAGAGATGGAGAGAGAGAAACATTGATGGGAGAGAGACATATCGATTGGTTGCCTCCTGCACATGCCTGGACCAGGCCAGGGATTGAGCCTGCAACTTAGGTATGTGTCCTTGACTGAATCAAACTGGTGACCTTTCAATTTGGGCTCTATCCACTGAGCCAAACTGGGTAGGGCTAAAGGATTTTTTTTTTTTTAATATTTAAAGTGGATTGGTGACTGAATACAGGAAAATAATTGGCCTACAACAATTTGTTGAATTGAGAAAAAAATTCAGAAAAAGAGGAAAATAAGAATTATATTGTATCTGAAAAAAGAACTTTAATAAGTAATTAGTTTTTTATGGGTAATTTGAAAGAGATCTACTTTTAAATTAATATTTAATTTTACATTGTAGTTTCTGAGCATTTGCACGTTCATTTTAGTTTGACTTTGTTATTGCCTTAAATTTACTTAATTCAAAATGATTATATAAAAAATATTTTCTCTTGGGGGGAATTAGACTATTATAATGAAAAAATATAATAGCATTAGATGTGGTTAAATGGAAGAACATGTTGTCAAAGGAAAGTTATTTTCTCCATTCACATTCATCCTTTCAAAGCCCCTAAGTGGTATTTGAGTTATTGTTATATTTTACTTTATTAAATGAGGAAGACTGCATTCAGATTGTGAACTAATATTTTTAGGAATCAAACAATTTTGGAAACATTAATCCAACAAATATGTGTTGAGTGACTTCTGCGGAAAATACAATGATGGTAGAGACATGTAGAGAGCTTGCATCGTAGTGTGGTAGGCAACTGACCTAGTAATTAAGAAAAAGAATGTTAGGTATTATGCAAGAGAATAACAGAAGAGTCTCTATCAAATGTCAAAGTTAGCTGTTGACTTAAGAGTATCTCTCTATTATCAAACTACCCAACTCCCCTGTGCATAGAAATCATATTTTTCCTTTCTATTGCTCTAACCTCACCTCTTTATGGATGGGAAGTAGTGATGTTGTAATGACAGCTATGCCCAAATTTGCCCTCAGATATATTACAATAAAGTTGTTGAATTTCCTTCTAAATGTGTACTTTAAAATATGACCACCCTGAGATTTGAGCATTGGTGAATATGCAAAGCAGAAGGAAGAGCTGTTAAAGAGCAAGCAGGGAAAATTCATGATAATCCTAAATGCCACGGTCCAGAATTCCACTCTGGGAAGAACAGAAAGATGGGGTTTTGTTTATGTGTTTCTTGCCTGCATTAATTTTTCTCTGTGTTTTGTTTTGCCTAGGTTATATAGGTCATTGAGCAGGAAGAACTAAAATCTCTAGTATTACACAAAAATGGCTTTGAATAGTAATGAGATTATAATAATTCCTTCTGCGGTACTTTGATCCTAATTTTTGTTTGTTTGTTTAAACAGATAATATATCAAACCCTGAAGCTTGGCATGTAAATGTGATTTTGAATATTCGTCCATCCACGGGCACTGGCGTGATGTTTGCCTTGGTTTCAGGTGACACGGTGCCCTTTGCCTTGTCCCTGGTGGACTCCTCCTCTGAGAAGCTTCAGGTAACTTTATTCTAACCCTTTATGATCCGTGTTTTTTGTTTTTCTTTTTAAATATATTTTTATTGATTTCAGAGAGGAAGGGAGAGGGAGAGAGAGATAGAAACACCAATAAATAGAGAGAATCATTGATCTGTTGCCTCCTGCATGCCCCACACTGGGGAATGAGCCTGCAACCTGGGCATGTGCCCTGACCAGGAATCAAACCATGTTCTCCTGGTTCATAGGTCAACGTTCAACCACTGAGCCATGCCGGCCGGGCTATGACCCTTGCTTTTTATTTAAATCTGTAAAATGAATATAATAGCAGTCTTTACCTCAAAATGCTATTCTAATGATTAAATGAGATAACTGATGTGAAGTATTTGGTACAATCTCTAGCACATCATTAAGGACTCAATAGATATCCATTATTGTAACTTTTTTGCTGGCTTATTTCTGAGGTCTGAACCCAGAAGTAAGGGTGAGAAATTGAAAAGCTTTATTGCATCTGTAGCTAAGATTAAGCAGACTCACACACAGGCTGCTTGGAGCCTTTCCAGAGTACATAGGGATCCACCCTTATTCAGAATTTTGGAGGAATCATGGGAATTAGTCTGTACTGGCACAATAGAAGTGAGTCTGACTACAATCTGCTCTCAGCTATTCAGTGCCTAATTATAATGCTTGTGTTTTCTGGCACACGTAATCTTTTCTCCCACGAGTAAATTAGGAAAGACTAGAGAAAACTAAAAGCAGTTCACGTGGCTTCTTGCTGGCAACTCTGGTTTAAAATTAGGAGGCAGAACAGGAAAAACGCTTGCTTCAAAAGAAACATGAGACTTATCAGAAGATCTGTATTATTCCACTTTCTATTAGAGGCTGATAGCTCTGTTCTCATGTTACCCACTGTGGATTCCAACAAGCTACAGCAAGAAGCTTACATTTGTGCCAAGGTTGGCGTGGATGCTCTCTGGAGCTTTTAGAAAGAGATATGTAATTGAATAATGTCTGTAGTAATAAAAAGGTGTTGTTTGCAACTTAAAAGATGACCTGGAGGAGTTTCTGGTAGTTAACTGTAAGCAACCTGAAAAGATCCTGCTGAGTTTTTATCTCTAATCTACCACCACAGGAGCTTACCATACTGGGATCGCAGCTTTTTGTTTGCTTGTTTTTTTGTTTGTTTGTTTGTTTGTTTTTAATAAACAAAATGTAATTCCTATCTTTAACATTACGTTCATGCGGTGAGGTTAACTCCTGCTGGCCATGCCTTTGATATTTATGTCATCTCTTTGCCATTTGTCTCCATGGCTCCCTGTTTTGGCATGTCAGATTGCTTTCTCAGGATCTGTGTACTTTGTTTTATAATATTATTCCACACACTACTGATCATTCTGGAACATCTTTTTAGCTGACCATCTTTAAGTCTAAATGAGTTCAAGGATCTGGAACATGTAACACAGTAACAGATCTTCTTGAGTAACCTGTATTTGAGATGTATAGACTTAACATAAGCATCTTGGATTCCTGAGTAGGCACTTCAGACTCTCTCTGCCATCTGGGAAGCATGCATCTAGCACTGCATCTCCCTAGTTTTGATTTTATTTTCTCTCTTCACATTAACATTTCCTCTGTACCCAAATAAGCTATATGCATAAATCACACTCAACAAGTTGAGTACTTTTGTGTATCAGTAGTTTGAAAAGTTCAGCAAAATAAATACATTTTTCCTTTTGAGAATCATCTGTTAAATACTCTGTAACTTACTGCTGGTGATTCCTGTTGTTTCTCTCTCCTGGTTTACTCATTTACTTTTCCCCAAGTCTATAAGATTGCTTAGGTGATACAAAAATCTCTTCAGTCTTACTAAAGCACTTTAAATTTTCCAAGTCTTTTTTCCTAACAAATAGTGTGTGTATATATATATCTATATATATATATATGCAAGTCTTGAAGTGAGGAAGGTTCATAAATAGAAAAAACATTGCTTAAGACACTACTTTAGGTTCTTGTTGTTGGTATCACAACTCTGATGGTTTATTGAATTTTCAGAAGTCACCATACATTTACATCTTAGCTAAACCTTAAGTTTATAAAACTAATGTATATTCTAAAATTATGATTATTACTAGAGGCCCGTTGCACGAAATTCTTGCATGGGTAGGGTCCCTAGGCCTGGCCAGCGGTCAGGCTGATTGGGGCCTTCCTTCCCCAGCTGCCAGCAGGGTCTTCCTTCATTCTGTACCACCCCTGACGGTCAGCGATCGAACTCCTGTTCTCCCAGTCAAACTCCCGAGGGGACACTTTGCATATTAGCCTTTTATATATAGAGATAATAATTAGTAATGTTTTTTTTTAAAATATATTTTATTGATTTTTTACAGAGAGGAAGGGAGAGAGATAGACAGTTAGAAACATCGATGGGAGAGAAACATCGATCAGCCGCCTCCTGCACATCTCCCACTGGGGATGTGCCCCCAACCCAGGTACATGCCCTTGACCGGAATCGAACCTGGGACCTTTCAGTCCACAGGCCGACGCTCTATCCACTGAGCCAAACCGGTTTTGGCAATTAGTAATGTTTTCATTTAAATTTGGAGGCTCTATCATACATTTTTTTTTCATTGAAATTCAGTTTTTGAGTTTCAAAAACCGTAAATCACTCTTAAGTAGTATTACCATCAGTACTTGCTTATACTGAGTCTGCCTGTTCTTTAGGATATCCTGGTATCTGTTGAAAATACGGTAATATACCGGATAGAGGCCTTAAGTCTGTGTTCCCGTCAACAATCTCATCTGGAATTCAGAATCAACAGAACAAATCTGGAGCTGGTGACTCCACTTAAATATGACATCATCTACTCTGAAGATCTTCAAAGAGAATTTGGCATCTTGGACAAAGCAATGAAAGGAAAAGTAGCCACTTACCTGGGTGGCCTTCCAGGTATCTGCTTTTTCTTCAGTTTTAAAAAGTGTATTTTTAATCACAGTGATAGTTGTTAGGGTCACCAAAGGAGGAACGCATGAGGCCAAAGTGGTGAAGGATTATGAATTTATTAGGTCGTCTGGATAACAGATGGGCTGAGCCCCAAAATGATGCCAGCACCCAAATACAGGGAGTCAGAGATTTTAAAAGACTCTAGGTGGGGTTTTTTCCTGGGCAGAGTATTCTCTGTGCAGGTCCAGATCCTGGGAAAGTCCAGAGGGAAGAGATAATGGCCTTAGCAAGTGGAATGTGGTCTAAGGGGAAGGGAATGTGCATTCTGAAGTGGCCTAAAGATCAGTTCCCAGGGGAGGGGTAGTGATTCAATTATTTGATCAAACCTAACAATAGTATTTTAAATAAGTAATTTTAGTAAAGGACATCAGAGGGGAAAACAGAATTCCTGTATCCATTATTCTTTTCCTCATGGTTTGAATTGACATTTTATTGTACATTTTTGTTTATTTTTTTAAATGTGAACTGAAACTAACCACATTTTGCCTCATTTGGCTATCCTAGCCAGAAAGAATTTATTATTTCATTTCATCCTCATAATAGTCTTGTGAATTCAATATTTATTCTTCAATTCATCCATTCTTCACCCAGTATTACTTAAGAATCTACATCCTAGGCATTAGGAATACAGTAATAAACAGATATGATCCCTGCTATTAAGGGTTTTACAATTTAGTGGCAGAGGCAGACATTAAGATTTTAAAAGATAAAATTGTCCTAACTTCAGTCTCCTTCCATTACCATTTATTTCCCCTTTACCCTCTTCTCCCTCTCCCCACCCAAGATATAAATCTGGTATTTGAAGGATTAAAAGAATTTAATCAGGTGGTGGGGGTGGGGATTAGCATTAATATGCAAATAAAATGGTCTACGTGCTGGAAAAATGGGAAGGGGTTGACATGTTTGAGGAATATAAAGATCAATATGGTGAAAGCATACTGAGCAGGGGGGTGGCAGTGCAGGAAGAGGCTCTGAACTGGGTGGGGGTAGCGGGGAATTAGGAGGTTTGTAGTCCTGGGACAGGGTCCTGAGTCTAATTTTAAGAGCTATGAAAATCATTGCAAAGTTTTAGACAAGCAAGTTGTATATCATCAATATAGCACCCTGTATGATGAATGGAGATGGACAGATGGGAGGCAAAAATGGACAAGATGAGTTGGGGGCTCCTGAAGTAGTCCAGGTGAAGGCGCAGTATTAATAACAGCAGCAACAACCGTACTACCTGTTCATAGTTCTTCAAATGTATCCACTCACTGAATTTTCAAAATAGTTTTGTGAAGTAGGTACTGTTATTACCCCATTTTACAGATGAGGATGCTGTTGAACCACGGTGATTGCAGTGGAGATGGTATACAGTGGTTAGATTGGGGGATGTATAAGAGAAATGAAACTAACAGGATTTAATGATTACTGGGGTAGGATCTCCTAGGCATCCGGCATGAGCAGTAGCATGGGTGGGGATTTCACACCAAGATGGAGAAAACTGGAGGCAAAGCAGGTTCATCTTTAACTTAATATTAGAAAATACGAAATTGGCATAAATATTTTACTTTAAATGGCAAAAAAAAAAAATTTGAGGCAGAAAGTTTTTTAAAAGAATTTTCAAATACCTTTGCAGGTTACTCTTATGGGGAGAATTCTGAGTTTGATGTCTGGACTTTAGTAACCGTCATTCCATTACTTTAACTGATCAGGATCTTCATTTCCCATATATGGAATTTATATCTGGGTTTTGGAGGAATAGAAATAAAGAGGCTCTAACAGGTATAGATAAATAGACAGATAAAGATAGCTATGTAAAGTTGGTTGATTATTAGGAAGTTAGTTAAGTTAGCATGGTTAATTATTAGGAATTATAATTAGAGTTCAAATGAGTAAATTCTACATTGAAACCCACTACTACCTCATTCACAAATTATTTGAATGCAGTTTTCAAAAGAAGTGAAATTATGAAAACTTCAGTGGTTCCAGGACTTTGGCAACAGCACTGAAGACTGACTTCAGGCGAGATGGGTTTAGAAAAAAGAGGAAAAATTAAGGGGAACTGAAAATTGAGATATTAAGAGTGTATGTAAACTGTGGGACGGGTAAATTATAATTGCTATGCAAAATAGGCATATTAAATTGCATGTTATGAATTAAAAATCAGGGAAAATAGATCATTCTGAGGTATTTTTATAATAGTGGCATAATCCATAGTGCTCAACCACAGTTAAAAGGGTTTCTTAATAAATATAAGCCCACAGAAAAGTGTATTGTCAAGTTAGAGTACAAAATTTAAAGTATATATGTATATATGTACATACATATATACATATATATGTGTGTATGTATGTGTATATATATGTGTGTGTATATATATATTTGCTTAAGGTATTGAGGAAGAAGAGTAAGGACTGAGAATATCTATTGGGAATTAAGATTCATGGAGTGGAGATGCCAAAGAAAACAATAGAGAGATAGATGTTTTTACGGTGAACTGTAGTTCTTAGGAATCCAAGGATGTTACCTACGTATTAAATTTGATAAAGAGAGTGAAAGTATAGAAAGCCCCAGAGGCCATAAACTATTCACTGAAGCATCATTAAAATTGTTATTTTTTAGAACCAAACATTACATAAAAGTGAATTCCCTATCATGATCTGCCAATGTGTGCTCAGCAAGAAACTATTTCTTTGGAAAATAAAGAAATTTGCTTTAATTCCAGTAATAATAAAAGAAACATATTTATCATGGCATTTAAAAAAGATTTCTAAGTAACTATAATTTAGAGTTGATTTAACAGTACTTAAACTGTTGCTCAGATTTAAAGAGACAATAATGAAGTTCCACATTATAAGTAAGAATGTGCTCATTTCTCCCAAGTGTGTTTATCTTAGGTTTGGGTGGAACTGATTGTGTTTATGAAATGAAAGGAACTCATGTATGCCGAGTTCAGTGCTATGCACAGTGCCTTATACACATAGACTCTCTTATATAAATTTATTAAATAGAATTACATTATTAACTTTTCCCTTAGGGGTAGAATTTGGTTGGAAATGGGAAGTTTGAGTGATTCCTCTAAGTGTAAGCAAATAAGATGGTAAAAGTCTTGGACTAATTTTTTTAATATTCTCTTTTACAGTTGTTCCATTCAGTGCAACACCAGTGACTGCCTTTTTTAATGGCTGCATGGAAGTGAATGTGAATGGTGTACAGCTGGATCTGGATGAAGCTGTTTCTAAACACAATGATATTAGAGCTCACACATGTCCATCAGTTTTGGAAAACAAAAAGAGCCCTTAAGTCATCTTTTGTCTGCTGATAACATCTTTTTCCTGGGTGTAGTTATACTTACATTTCAATAATAGTTGAAGGGTTTTACTTATGAGGGCAGACTTTAATTATTTTATGGTACTTTGTTTGACCTTCTTGGAATTTTAAAAAGGTCCTTTTTTGAGAAAACAAGATTCTCTTGTGATATAAATCACATTAAAAAGTTCTTACCTCTGTTGCTGTCTAGAAATTAAATAATGAAAAAACATAAGAAAGTTAATTTTAATTTTTGCTACAAATGACATTTCTTCATTTTTATGTTTGTAAAGGTAAATTTTAATTGTGTCATCATGAACTAGTGTCTAAATATCTAGTTTTCTTGGAAGGCAAGGAAGTAAACCTAAACAAATGTTCATGAGACTGAGTACTATTGATCATAGCAGATACTATTTTGTTTTTGTTTCTTCCTAATGAAAGCAGAAGAGACAGTGGCCTATTAATTTGAATTGAGTGGGAGGCCTTACAGCTTTATTCCAAAACAACTCCTCAGGGGCACCAGCTTCGGCTTCACCTTTCTTTCACTGGCTTCACATTTGAACCACTAGTTTTACTGAATTAGAGAACAAGTGGACACATTTTCAGACAGCAGCACATGAATCTTATCAGTTACTTATTGGATTCCACGAGGATGAGCTACCAGATGGTGCTGGGATGGGTGTGGAAACTGGGAGTGGGTACATTCTTTAAATTTGACTGTGCTGGTCACACAAGCTCCAGATTAGAAAAAGTAGAACTTAATGATGGAAAGAATGAATGATTCCAACTTTAATTACCGGAATAAGTTGCCAGAATGTGACTGTTTATTGAAGGATAAAGGGAACTATGAAAACTACAATAGATTTTAATGAAAGAGTAACAACAGAGGGACATAGTTACTATTGTGTCTTTGGAGAAAGTAGTTCTATCACTCCTAAACCTGTGATTCACATTAAGAATGTATCTTATGTCTCATTGACAGTTTTAGAGAATAAACTATTTTTTCCCACTAGAGGTATTTTATATCATGTAAAACATAATAAATTGCTGTATATTTTTAAAATTTATATGAATGATATCTATATTCTATCAACTCTTTGAACAGAACATAAAATTATAGACCTGGCCAGGTAGCTCAGTTGGTTAGAACATTGTCCTACTACCCTAAGGTTGTGGGATTGATCCCTGGTCAGGGCACAATACACCAGTCAACCAATGAATGCATAAACATGTGGAACAACAAATCTCTCTTTTTCTCTCAACAATCAATAAATTTTTAAAAATTGCTTAAACAATATAAAATTACATAGTATGCATGTAACTCTTCATGCAGCACAGTAGTTCTTTAGTTCAAAGATAGATAAAGCTCAAATATCTGATGAATAGTTATGGCTGCATTGTACACACTGGAGCTGAGAAAGGAAGAAAAGCAAAAGTCACATGTATAAAGTATTTGCCAGAAATTGTGCTAGACCATCTTAATGGATGTAATTTTTCTCCCAATTACTACCATGTACTGTGGGGAATAAATTTCAGCAAGCAGCTACTGATGATTACTTCAGTGTAAAAAAACTAAGGAAGTGGAGTGGTGGCCTGTGTGGCTCAGCTGGTTGGAGCGTCCTCCCAGGAGCGCACACCGGAGGCAACCGGTGGATGATTCTCTCTTCCTATCCCTCTCTTTAAAATTAGTAAAACATATCCTTGGGTGAGGATTTAAAAACAAATAAGGAAGTAGAAAAACTGAAAGTATATGAAGAGAAAAAAAGAATGGAAGAAAGGGGAAAATGAATATTTTGAGAGGGGAGCTCTCTGATTCTCATTTAACTATGCCCCACTACACTGAACTATACAGATCAATTCCACATTTGTCATTAGAAATAGAACCTTCCAACGTGCAGTAATCTTCTTAGAGGCTCCATGTACTTATTTATAAACTTCATCTATCTTTGAGATGGACTCACATGTGGCTTAGAGAGAGAAGGTGTCTAGACCTCAGGCTAAGAATCTTTCATTTGACCTTTGATCTTGATGTTTGCCAAGAAATACAGATTCCTAATTTTAAAGAGAACTGTGGTACTGAACATTATGCAAGACAGGTTGTAGATTGCCAGCTTGCTGATTTAATACATTGGAAAGTATAGATCTGCCGCAGCATGCCCAGGCGCAGTGTTCCTGAAAGCATTTGTGACTCATCGGAAGGGGGGCATTTAGATACAGCAGGAGTGATGACTAACAAGGATGAGATTTCATGTCTGCGGGAAGGCATGGCCGGGAAGCCCAGGAGGACCCTGATAGAATTCTTGGTTCAGTTCAGGGAAGACGGTGCTTAGTTCAGATACTCTAGAATTCCTTCATTCTGTCTTAAGTGGTCACTTGAGCTTCAAAATATTTTGCAATGGATATGAAAATCTGTTAAAGGAAACAAAAGATAGTATTTCAAATACAGGAAAAAAATGAAATTTGTATGCCTTGATTTGTTTTTTTTTTCATTTTTATGCAGAGATTAAAAAATATAAAGCTATATGTTGCTTAGCAAAGATTTTTAAGATACCCTATATGTAGGATGATTGATTAAAAAAACAAACCTAATCACTTTTCAGAGTATATGTTCTTAATTGAGGAATGAAATTGTATTTCAGATTTGTGATGCCAGGAACGTGAACAAACTAAAAGTTACTGTGCAGTTGTCAGAAATAATAAATCCAGCTTTTTATGAAAAAAAGAGAACAGTGGTTTATATTTGGTGCTATTTGAGCTTTGTGTCATGAAAAAATCCAAGTGACAGAGTCATTACATTGACCCTAGAACTTACTATTTTCAGACAGGTTATGGATCAGTAATAATAATGGTTTGTGAGAACAAAGTTACTAACCTTGGTTTTCCTGTCTGAAGTTTTAATTCCTGTATCAATCCCTGTGAGTCTTATAAAGTATTTCCAATTATCTTTTCATTCTGAAACTGGTGTTATTGATGGGGAAATTTTTTTTGGAGGGTATGTTTGTCTAATAATAGACATTTCTTTGGGAATCCCCTTAAGCCTTTAATCTCTACAGTCAGTACAAAAGACTGGGATATCGGAGGTAATTTTATTTATTTATTTAACCCTCACTGAAGGATATTTTTTCCATTGATTTTTATTTTTTTTGTAATTAGCTAGTTATTATTTTAAATCTTTATTGTTGAAAGTATTACATATGTCACCTTTTTTTCTCCCATTGACTCCTTATAGCCCACCCCCGCCCCCATCCCAGGCTTTACCACCTTATTGTCTGTGTCCATGGGCTGTGCATATATGCATACAAGTTCTTTGGTTGATCTCTTCCCTCCACCTACCCACCCACCCCTGCCTTCCCTCTGACATTCATCAGTCTGTTCCATGCTTCTGTGTCTCTGGATCTATTTTGTTTATTTTATTCATTAGATTCCACATAAGAGTGACATCATGTGATACTTGTCTTTCTCCATGCTGTATCAAAGGATAAGAGATCCTTTTTTACTGCTGCATAATATTCCATGGTGTAAATGTACCACAGCTTTTTTATCCACTCACCTACTGATGGACACTTGGGCAGTTTCTAGATCTTAGCTGTTGTAAATTGTGCTGCTCTGAACATAGGGGTGCATACATTTTTTCTAATTAGTGTTTCTGGTTTCATAGGATATATTCCTTGAAGTGGGATCACTGGGTCAAATGGCAGTTCCATATTTAGTTTTTTAAGGAAACTCCATACTATTTTCCATAATGGTTGCACCAGTCTGCATTCCCACCACCAGTGTATAGGGTTCCCTTTTCTTCACATCTTAGCCAGCACTTGTCGTTTGTTGATACTAGCCATTCTGACAGGTATGAGGTGATACTTCATTGCTATTTTAATTTGCATCTCTCTGATGATCAGTGACTTTGAGCATTTCTTCATATGTCTCTCGGCCATCTGTATGTCCCCTTTGTAGAAGTGTCTGTTTAGGTCCTTTGCCCATTTTTTAAATTGGATTGTCTTCCTTTTGTTAAGTTGTATGAGTTCCTTATGTATTTTAGATATTAATCATTTATCGGATGTATTATTGCCAAATATGTTCTCCCACATAGGGGACTCCTAAAATTTCTTGATGTTGCTATTGATGATATGGATTTTGGAAAAGATAGGGTCACTAAAACCTCTAGAGCAGTGGTTCCCAACTTTTTGGCCCTTTAAATACAGTTCCTCATGTTGTGACCCCATAAAATTATTTTCGTTGCTACTTCATAACTGTAATGTTGCTACTGTTATGAATTGTAATGTAAATATCTGATATGCAGGATGGTCTTAGGCAACCCCTGTGAAAGGGTCGTTCGACCGCCAAAGGGGTCGCAACCCACAGGTTGAGAACCACTGCTCTAGAGACAAGCGTGAAAAATTTCTAATTCATTCATTTAGCAACAAATATTATTGAGTAATTACTCTGCGTAAGGTAGAATGTCTGAAGAGCTAAAGATTACAAAGCAGGTTCTTTCAGGTTGTACTAAGAAATGGAGGCAATACAACTTTTGATCATTGCTTCTACATTAGAGTAGTATGTTCCTTACAAACATTGATTTGACAGTGATCTTACACATGGGTTACTAACTATTATCAGGTTTCAAGCTTTCACAGAGAATTTATATTTGAAAATTGGGCTTTCTTCAATGGAAGAGACATTGGTCAAAGGTTTATCCAGTGATGTACTTGGGTCCACTCCTAGCTCTTGGCTATCTTGTGTTCATGTTTGTAGAGTATGACAGTGAAGGGCAGTTTCATGGATCAGCATCCTATGCGGTTTTCTGGGACATATTAATATAAACACTGCAAGGTCTGATTACAAATCAGATTGATACCATGAAAAGACTGAATCAAGATAATGTGAAGCTAAGAAAGTCAGAAGTGGAACGAACTGAGTATGGAGTGGTTTGGAACAAGTAATACCCTGAGGCTGTGAGGCATATCCTGAGCCACAGCAACTACTTCTGCAATGCTGCAGACCTGCCATGGTATAGCAATTACCTTGTGGATAAGAGTAGCATCCAGTGAACTTACAGACTCACTTCTGTGTCCTGCAACTACTTTCCACAGCAAGCCCACTCCAAAGATGACAGTAGTTCTATATGAGAAATTGTACAATACAATTTGTAGTTTACTGGTGAGAAATCTTTCCTGCTAAAGTTTCAAATGGTGGAATCTGAAATCTTATTCTGTAACTAGAGGCCCAGTTGGGGGTGATAGGGCTGGCAGGGGAGCAGTTAGGTGTCAACCAGGCCAGCAGGGGAGTGGTTAGGGGGCGATCAGGCAGGCAGAAGCAGTTATGGACAATCAGGTAGGCAGGCAGGTGAGCGGTTAGGAGCCAGCAGTCCCAGATTGTGAGAGGGATGTCCGACTGCCCGTTTAGGCCCAATCTCTAAACTGGCAGTCGAACATCTCCCAAGGGGTCCCAGATTGGAGAGGGTGAAGGCCAGGCTGAAGGACAACCCCCCCCCCCCCCGGGCACAAATTTCATGCACCAGGGCTCTAAAAATCATATAATTGGAACTCTGGGCTAGATACTGTCCTAGGAAAAAGTGAAGAAAATGCTCTAGTCCTGCCACCAACATTTTTACAGGCTAGGGCAGTGGGCGGCAAACTCATTAGTCAACGGAGCCAAATATCAACAGTACCTCTTCAAAATAGACTCGCCCAGGCCGAAAACCAACTTTTGTGCATGGGCCATGAAGTTTCAATCGCACTGTATGCGCGCCCGCATGTGGTATTTTGTGGAAGAGCCACACTCAAGGGGCCAAAGAGCCGCATGTGGCTCGCGAGCCGCAGTTTGCTGACCACAGGTCTAGGGAATAGAAGACAAATGGACAAGTAATTAAAACATGAGCTTGAGTTTGATAAGTGGTGCAGCAGAGAAATAAACATTTCAGGAGGTTATGTGGAGGAATAAATGGATTACAAATGGAAGCTTAGTGAAGTAGGCCCTATTTGAATTAGGCCCAATAAGATAGGAATTTCCATTAGTTTCTCTGCTTCCAAGTCCTGTTGCCCACAATGTTTCCAGATGATCTCTCACACAAAGATCATATTTCACTATAATCCTCATAACCTCCTTTGTTTATCTATTGATTATTGCCTGAAGTACATATGATTAATTGGGCTTTCAAGGGCTGTCATCATTAAACCAGTGGATCTTGACCCAAGATGCTTACCAGATTCACTGGCCCCATCCCAGACAACTAAATCAGAAGATTCCCATGGGTAACCAAGTAATAAGCCACAGATCCAGCCTCTGGGTTACTCTCTAGTCCAGCAATTTTCTTTTTTTAAAAAATTCTTTATTGTTTAAAGTATTACATATAGTATTACACGTGTCTCCTTTTGCCCCCATTGACCTCTCCCCGACCACCCCCACCCCCCAGCACATGCCCTCACCCCCCTGGTGTCTGTGTCCATTGGTTAGGCTTGTATGCACGCATACAAGTCCTTTGGTTGATCTCTCTCCCTTCCCTCCACCCTCCCCTACCTTCCCTCTGAAGTTTGATGGTCCGATCGATGCTTCTCTGTCTCTGGATCTGTTGTTGTTCATCAGTTTATGTTGTTCATTATATTCCACAAATGAGTGAGATCATGTGATATTTATCTTTCTCCAACTGGCTTATTTCACTTAGCATAATGCTCTCCATGTCCATCCATGCTGTTGTGAATGGTAAGAGTTCTTTCTTTTTCACAGCAACATAGTATTCTCTAGCCCAGCAATTTTCAACCAGTGTGCCGCAGCACATTGTATGCTGCAAGAAGTTTTAAAACATGCAATGCCTGACTAGTCAGGGGCACTGACCTCTTTTTCCTTAGTTTGTCAAATAAAAAAATGACAACAGTCAACACAACAATAGGTATCCAGTTGAAGTATAGTAATCTCCATCTTGGGTAAAAACTGCTGTTTAAAATTTTAACCCTGCTATTCTGGCTTCTGTAAAAATTTGCTTCCTTAAATAATAGGGGAAATAAGGCCACTCCCTATTCCAGAGAGGCCATAAACTATGCCCCAGAAAGAGTTGTCAGTGCTGCCGCCAGCACAGGCCTTGAGATATGGTCTCACCGTCCTGTGCCAGCAAACAGGACTTTTTCTCAGAAGGTCCGGAAGTCTCATTCCAAATTTGGAGACAAAGAGCTGAAAAGCATATAAATTGAAAAGACTTCCACCATATTGGGCCCCAGAATTTGAGAAGCAAGAGTTCCTCTGGGCCCGCTAGTGCTAGCGAAAATGAACAGGACTCCAAATAAATTTGGCTTATTGATTAAGGCGTCTTCTGATTTACAATATAGCACAGTGTGAACCATAAATATATAGGTCATATAATAGAGTTGCATCTTATTGGTCATGTCATATAATAAAGTTGTGTCTGATTGGTTAATTCTTGGTACTGAAATCCTTATAAATATGTCTAGGCACCTGATTTTTAAAAAGTCACTTTGGAGAAAAAAGGATAGGTAACTACTGTTATTATTTGTAGATAAATCAAAATTATACCATTTTTTTGTGAGATTAGCAAAAAATACAATTTATTTTTTGGTATGCTGCAGAATTTTAGTAATTTATGTGTGTCATGAGAAAAAAGGTTGAAAATCACTGCTCTAGCCTCATGTATTCCCTTCCCCATTCCTTTTGCCTCCTGTGTGCATATGTACACACACACACACACACACACACACACACACACACACACACCAG